AGAAAAGAATGCTTTTAGATAGCGTGTATGAGCTGTCCATCAAGAATGAGTGAGAAAGAGAGAGAATATCGTGTGAAAGTAAATCTTACTTTAAAGTATTTGATTCGACCATGTCTTTTAGTAGAAAACATTTCCTTTAAAAAGTTACGAATGGTAGGATAAAAGAAAGAATCTCGAATAAAATAAAGCTAATTTTGGGATACTCAAAGACCCTCTTTCGATCGGTTGTCTTATTTGTGATGAGTAAATTTTTCTAATACTCGGGGTAATCGTATTAGTTAATACGGCCCTAACACATGCTGTCAGTACAGGAACGTAATAACTGGCTATATCTATTGAGTCCTTAAGGGGGATCTGGTATGTCGTTATTTATGTCGATAAATACAATTGATTGTGTAAATCTTTCTCACGTATCTTTCTCAATTCTCTTTTTTTACTTTATTTGGTCGTCATTAAAATAATAAATTAGTTTTACAATTATGTATGTGAGATTCGAATTATCGGATTGTTTCTTTAAAAGAAACAATAAGTTTATTATTTGATTTAATTGATCACTCATGATTTAATTCATAGAAAATATTTTTTATTATCATTGTTGTTATTATTTTATTCAATGTATTTGATTATGTGAATATTTGTTTTCATCAAATTCGAGTATTCGAAGCAAGCTTTCTTGAGTATTTGAGATATCCGAAATATTCATAGTAGATAAACGAAGGATAGGGTGTCAAGGGGATATAGGTTTATATAGATTAAATATTATCCTTGTGGCAAGAGTTCTCTCTCTTCTTTCTAATTCTGGTTCTGGTTGTTGTAACATTGGCGGTACAGTTCACAGATTCCTTGAGCGTAACCGCTGCTTATAGTCATACAATACATTACTTCCATCCATCGTTGTCATTGTCACGCGACTCTCCTGGACTTTCGCTTTAATGTTCGCACGAAAGCTCCCTCATCACAACGAATTTAACACTTTTCATTTCATTTATTTTATTATTTTTTCTTCCTTTTTTTCTTGGCTTTTTGTTTTCTAATTTGTTTAATTTTTTTTTTTATACAATCATATAGCAAATATTTTGTATTCTCGCAAGAAGGGAAGGAAACTTACGTAATAACTCAAACGGGGAGGCTGCGCAAGAATATTTTTATCGACGAGCAAGGGAAACATAGTTCTACGTAAACGCATACCTATGTGCATATACATTTTGTATTTGCAAAAAAGTCTCTGTTATCGTCCAAGTGTCAATTAGAGTCGTTCAAAAAGAAAACTTAGGAATGAAAAGTTCATTACTACATTTCGATAAACGTAGAGATAGATTTATTTATTCAATGTATAAATATTTTAGAGGTATATATACATATGTATATCAAAGTGATTATTAAGTATATTTATATAGTAAGAAAGGTTAATGCATTTCAAAAAATACAATATATTAGAAAAAAAGAGAAATAGATCGAAGATAGAAGCTAGAATGTTTTTCTAAAAAGAAAGAAAGAAAATATGTTCGAATAATGTTAATAGACATTATAATTTGAAAATGAACTTCCTTATTATTTATTTGATAAAAAATTGAAAAAAGAAAATAAAAATGAAAATATGAACAGGGTCCGGAGAAAAGATGCTATGGCAGTGAGTAGAGTGGGTATAGTGGGGGTAAGCTGACGGCACTGTCGGCGGCCAGCTGTACACGGCGTGGCGCGTCAGTCGGTGCTCGTTGAGTTCTCCCCACTACTCGGCATTACCTCCCCACTACTGAGTAAGCTCGTAACGGTGGCGGCCATCGGTGTATAGCGCGCGCGGTGTGTCTTTCGTCGAGCCATGGCCTCCATAGACACGGAGGCGAGCGAGGCAGCCCGAGCCGCTCCTCGCGTCATCGTCTATTCGAGAGAGAGAGAGAGAGAGAGAGAGAAAGAGAAAGAGAAAGAGTGAGTGAGTGAATGTGAGAGTGAGAGAAAGAGAGAGAAAGAGAGGGAGCGAGTGAGAGGGAGCGAGCGAGCTTGCGAGCGCACGAGGGAGTGAGTGAGATATATAGACGAACGAACGAACAAGAAAGAAAGAGAGAGAGAGAGAGAAGACGGGCCTGAGAGCGACGATCGCGAGAAGTAGTAGCAATAATTTCTAACTCGAGTCAAGATGGCGGCGACGGTGGTGGCGGACACGGTGGCGGTGCTCGCCAGGGGCGACAAGATCCTCGTCACCGTCGAGTCCGCCCTAACGGACATCCTCGTCGTGTCCTTCGTTCATGGTGCCAAGTGTTTCCAGGGTGCGCTCCTCGACGCTACCAAGAGGTACGTACATGTATACGTGTGTGTACGTGCGCGTGGCCATGTGTATATGTGTATATATGTATACGTGCGCGTACGTGTATAATATATAATACTCTCTTCTTTCTTTGTGTCATACTCTGTATATATCCAAATCAATGAGTAAATTTGATTATTTGTGTTCTATTCTTTTTTTTTTGTTTTTTTATATTTTAAAAACACCTATGTTTGTATTAGTGTGTGTGTGTGTGTGTGTGTGTGTGTGTGCTGTTTTTACGCGTGTCAACTGGCACGACGTGTGCACCTCGTGCTCGCAGCATCCCTCTATCTATCTCTCTCTAACAATTGTACACGTTGTTTGCTTTACTCTACTCTTTGTTTTTCTCTCTCTCCCTTTCTCTTTTTTCTGTCTTTCTCTATAATATAATATATACATGTGCTTTCCCTTTCTCTCTTTCCTTCTTTCTTTCTTTTTTTTTTCTAAATTATTATTATAAATGAAAGTAATAACATTAACAATAATTAATTTGTCAGTTGATATAGAAAACAGAAAAATTGACCATCTGATTGTAACCAAAAAACAAAAAGGTTTTGGTCGATGGTCATCAAGCGACGGCCGTCGCTTCCTTCCTGTTCTACACTTCACATCATTCTCTCTTTCTTTCCCTTTCTCTGAACCATCCATTTCCTTTAAAAGCTGAAGAGTCGTCTGAATCCTGATATCGATCAACGATTGAAGTCGTTTCAACGATGATACATCAATGCTATCAATGTGTAGACGACAAATTCCCTGTCATCGTTTCTTTTTCTTCGTCTTCATTATCATCATCGTCGTCGTCGTCGTCGTCGTCGTCGTCGTTGTTGTCAGAGGTGAATCACCTCAAAAAGATGCCCTTTGTTAGGGCCCACCGTGTGTGTGATATGTTAGGTCTCTTCTTCCGGTCTCTCTGTCTCACAGCCGTCTATATAACAGTCCACTCACATAAGTCGTTATTTCGTTTGATGATCAACCAAAGCATGGATTCCCTTTTATTTTGTTTATTTTTTTTTCTAATTTCTGTCCAATTTATTTTTACTATATTCTTCAGCAATCTCGTTTTGAAGTAATCACTGATTTTGAATGATACAATTGTAAGGTAAAATAAAAAATAAAGATAAAAAGTCGCGTGCATTTCTATCGGTTGCAAGATAAATGTTACGAGTTGATCGTACATTCTCTGTCTCTTTCTTTTTTTTTATTTTATTTCTCTATCTATCCTTCCTTTTCCTTTTTTTTTCTCTCTCTCTCTCTTGGCCTGGATGCATCGCGTTAAACGTCACGCAGAGCTTTACGAGACGCTGGAAAAGCTTGCTTTTTTCAAGCCCTACATCTCTTCCTTCCTTCCTTCCTTCCTTCCACTTCTTTTCTTCCTCCTCCTCCTATTCCTTTTTTCTTTCTTTTACTTTTATTTCGTACTATGTCGTAAACGAGTGGCCGATCGATAAAGAAAGTAACGATTTGTTCTATCTTTCTCTCTCTCTCACACACACTTCTTTTTCTTTTTCTGTCTTTCTCTTTTTTGTTCGTTGTAACCTTTTGGCAACTTTGTTGAGGAAGTTTCTTGCAAAAGATTATTCTTGAAATAAGGATGAAAGAAACTGAATTATTATTTCTTAGGCTTTTGATTGTGTCGTTTAAATGACGATTACATCGTTGTTTTTTTTTTTTTTTGAACTCGTGCAAATATTTATTCACACGCGATACTGGTAATTAGGGGGTAAATTGGTTAAGAAGAAAATTACTCGAGTTTTATTATTCATTGTACTTATTATATTTTTTTTTTATCACCTTTTTTCTCTTTGATATTTCAAATATAATTCTATCAAAATAAACAACATAATAATTATTCTTCAAAGACTTCATTTATTAGACTAATCCATTCATCTAATATCTTTTGATCGTAATTATAAAGTCATAATATTTTGAAATGTAAAATAGTTCTTGAACACGATGTTATTTCCAATTATTCTTAATCGTTCGTAAAAATTTGCTTACTCCTCGTGGTTAATACAATTAGTAATAAAGGGGATAATAGATTCATAGGATTGATTTATACAATACTAAATTATGTATAAATATGTACATACACAAAAAAGGACATGGAAAATCGTCGTTTCATGTCGATCGATGATTATTTGCATTTTGCTTGTTTTTTTGTTTTGTTTTGTTACATGTTTTTGATTGATCTTTTTGTATATACAATTTATCGAGTAGTTGTTCTTTTTTTTTTTTTTACCAAAATTCATCGGTTTTGATTCGTAATCTAACGTTACACAACAATCCGTTGTTATCTTGTTTACGGTTTTAGAGAGTTTTTAATTTTCGTTTTTTAGTTCGGGAAAAATAAAACGAGAAAAAAAACAATGTCCGCACATCATTGCATTGCATTTCCGTCAACAATTTAAAATGAGAAGTCAATAAATATAAGTTATTCCGACAGGTCTTTTCCCATCAGAAGATTTCACGAAGAAGAATTCTTTCGGATCGTTTTAACGATCTCTATGAAATATTATATGACAAGGAACCGGTTTTCGCGAGTTTCTTTGCTCCGGTAAAGAAGGGATCGTCATTATCGATTTTCAAAACGGACGTTTACGAAAGCCGGAGATATGCGAATTATGAGCGAAGATAATTTTAATAGGCAATAAGAATCATTCATTTAACTCTCTATTTGATTTATGTTTTACTCGGAATGATCGATAAATTTTTATATTTAATGTAAGTAAACAAAAACAAAAGAAATCATTATATAAAAAAAAAACAACACCATTTTATTATTTTTAAGATGAGGTGTATAAAATTTCAATTACTTTCTCTTTTTAAAAATGGAAATTTTTTACAAGTAGAAGAAAAAGAATAAAAAACAAGAAACAAATTTAATGAACAATAATTAATGACTCTCGTTGTTCTTGATTTTCACACAGAGAAGAAAAGACAGAGACAGAGAGAAAGAGAGAGAGAGAGAGAGAGAGAGAGAGAGAGAGAGAGAGAGAGAGACGGAAAGAAAGAGAGAATCGTTCGTGAAACGTCGAACTCCATTGTTCTCAAGCGTAGAATAGAAAGAAACGAAGCAACGTTGTTCGTGGCAAGTTCCGGCAAGGTAGAAAAACGAGAAAGAAGTTGCAAAAGCGTTCCGCGTGTTCGAGCTCTTATCGTTTCGTTCGATAAACCACTGTGAGAAACGAACAACTTCATTTTTCTGCCATTTTAACGATCGATTGCTTCGTACACGTACAGAGACACCCGTTACATCCACCCAACACACACACACACACACACACACACACACACACACACACACACACACACACACACACTCACCCAATACACGCACACAAAGTCAGAGATTAACTAGAAAATGAATGAAGAGTATCTTTGAATATTTTGGTTTGTTAATTTATAAATGAAAGAATGATTTTTTTTTTTTTTTTTTTAATGAAAAATTGAATAAAAAATGCGGAAGAAAAAAAAGAGGAGCAGAAGTCAGTTTGAAATGAAAATTGAATTAGATACGGTGGTATCGATCGTTGAAGAAGAGCATATATATCTCTGAGGCTAAGGGATCCGACATAGGCAACGGGGGTAACGTCGTTCAATTAATTATACGTAAGTCGACCGGCTGACGCACATTGTCCGCAAAGTTAACCGTCCACCACATTGAGAATCATACTAGCAAAGCTAGTCTCACAATAAATCGTGCCCTATTTGCAACTTGAGTTCTTCTGTTGCTTCGATCATTGATCATTGACTAATAGCCATTGTTATGTTTTTAGACAAATATCATCTTTTTCCAATAAAATCATCGATTTTACTAATATTTTTCAATAACATTTCATCACATTCAAACAATCTAAGGACAAGGGACAAACATTTTACATGCAAGTTAATAACACGATTACAAAATATTTAACACTAGATATATCAGACCAGTCATTTTGATTGTTCGGGCCATTTTAATTCAAAATGTCTACTTCATGTAACATTTGATTTCTGTAAATAATTAAGCGTTTTGTTATTTAAAAATGTCTATAAATCCATTTATCTATTGAAATTATTATTGTTCAACATTTTTTGTTATTTTTTAAGAGTAAATAAAGACTGGAAGCCTTAAAAAACATTTTTTTTTTATACACCAGTCATTTTGACTAGTATGGTAGAAATAGGTATACTGAAAATGGTGGTATATCTAGTGTCAATAATAATAATAATAATAGTATAATTAAAATCAATTTATCTAAATCAATGTATCTATTGTATCATTCAAAATAAAATAATTTAAAACAGTTTATCAGATAACCTGTTAACCAGGTGGGACGTATAAATACGTCAAATGTATTGCTTTAAAGCTAAAGATACAAACCTTTGTACTTTATATATAAATAAACGAAAAAATATATAATTCATAATCTTTTCATTTATTTTAAGCATAAATAATAAATAAATAATAAAAAAAAGGTACGTAATTAAAAAAGGGAATTTCTCGGTTAACAGGTTAAGATAAATACAACTACAAAGGGGGTTATGTAATAATATTATTTTAGTATTATTTTATTATTTGAACTGTTCGACATTCGCACCAATTGAACTAATTTTAGTTTATAATTTCATTAAGTATTTATACGGTTTTGTTTCTATTGATCTGAATTTAACATTCTAGTTTAGTCAGTATACTTGTTGAAATATATAAATTATCGTCAAATTTGAGAAGACGTAGGACGATAATTATTCGTTTGGATTCGCAATTAAGGATGTAGTAATACTACCAGTGACGAGTGAAATCTCGTTTAGATGATAAACCAGAGATAAGGAATTTGCTCAAACAACGTTTTAGTTTCCCCTTCTTCTCTCTCTCTCTCTCTCTCTCTCTCTCTTCTCTCTTTTGGAATTTTCTCTCGTATTATTTTAACCAGACGTGTCATCGTTCTACGCTCGCTTAAGGATGTCCGTTCCAACGAAAATCATGATTTATATTATAACACCCCGT